GGGTGTGAGGCAAGTACTGAAAATTTGGAAGACCTTGCTCTACGGGTATCTAAGAGGACTTTCACAAGGAACACTTCTGTACTGCAGAAAACCAACCCTGGTAAAAAGTGCTGGCTGTCCTCAGGCCGGATGGCATGTGAAAATACGAGAGTCTTTGAATTCTATGACCTAATCCTCTCTGATCACAAGTGGATGAATTTAACCCACCACAAATGAGTTTATTAGAATTTTGTGTAAAGCTTTGGCTGCTGACATTACATGCATCCTCTAATTTACCTAAAGGCAAATAATTATTTTAATCAGTCCTCCAGTTGCTCTACTATTTCAGTATCAGATAGGACCACAAAAAGAGGGACGAAAACAAGGTCACGCTGAAGAAACTAACAGCAAGGTAACTCTGATGCTAAAAATTGGCACAGAAAAAATGTTCTAAATGACTGTATTTTATTACTATAGTAGCTAAGTGCCTTCCTCACACCTGAGCTCCATGTACCGGATGTGGTCCTCGCAAACTGATGATGGCTTTCAAGACTCAGACTGGAGTTAGAAGATATATTCAGAAATGTATACAGCCATTTTGCCCTTATGCAGTCTAATACATTTTTATGACTGCTGTTGCCCAAGTAATTCATAATCTTTTAAAAGGATCGTCACTGATGACATTCCATTTTAATAGGCAGAGAAACATGAAGAAAGAGAACTGGAACAACTTATCTTGCGTTACCAAGGAAAAATGTGGGTACCTTAGCAATGAACTGCACATTGTTTTTTAGCATCCAGGCTCACAGTGATTCCCAACCATTACTCTTCTCTGAGGCTCTGTATTTAACATAGCGACTTACCAGAAGCACTCACCCAACAGACATCACCCCCACTGAAGTGCATTTGACCCATTATTTCAGCCTGAGACAAAATCAACTCTAAAACTTGTTTGGATTCTCCTATTTTCAGTTTAAGAGTCTTGCATGACAGAACTATTATCTCCACTCCTCCTGTAGTCCCACACATTCAGTTTTGATGCTAATGAGCCAAGAGCAGATTCAGTTACTGTATAACCCCAATTTATTTCCAGAGTATCACCTATTCTATGTACTGAATGATGAGGACAAAAAAAAAAAGTATGTAGCTATGAAATTTGAGGTTACATTAAAATGCAGAGCAGGAGATGAATTTGAGACATATCCTAACTCTACATAAACCTGCTTTCTTGACTTTTCAAAGTTTTGTTTTAATTTTTGACACTGTAAACAATTCTCTAATAATAGAAAAAAAAAAAAAAGATGTTTAGTTAATGATAGTAGTTGTGCACAACTCTAGCACCTTCCTTTCACTTATCATTGCAAAGGGTTGTATTTTGGACTCTCAGCACTGTAGTGATCATCACGTATCACCTGAAACGAAGTAAAAAAATACAACTACAGAGAGACAGAAGATAAATGCAGCTGCTAGCTTCAGAACTCCACCTCTGTGGACCCGGCATAAAATGCTAGAGACTGCTAATTAACATCAGTCCTAGTGGTCTCTACAAAGGTGAAAACCTCATTTTACAAAGAGCAGAGTTTTAATGTCTGAGAAACCATGCCTCTTCTGTATTTATCTACCTCCACGTGCTATACCAGTGTATATCACTTTACTCAAAAATAAATTTATTTTCTCTTATAAAAAAAGAAATGTCTCAGAAATAATGCTGGTGGTCAGCAGTGCCAATAAAGCTGGAACCCAGGCAGTGTTTCCTGGTTCCCAGCACAGTCCCCACCTAGGTTGCCACCCTTCCCTGACTAGTCTGATAAGAAGGAATTGCTGCAGCAAAAGCATCCATTTCACTCATGTCCCCGTTAGTGGCTAGTGCTGCATGCTAAAATTGAGCTTCAGTGTAAAACCAAAAGTTAGTACTCATGAGAAATGAAATGACTTTAAATTGTCTAGCAATTCTGAGCTAGCCACACAGAGCTGGATGGTAGTGGCTGTCAACAGGATCAGCTTAGGTCAATCCAAACATTTTGTGAAAGCAGTGAAAGGTACCCTTATCATTCCAAGATGATCTATCTCATAAATGAATTTCAGGTTGTAGAAAGCTGAAAAGTTTTGTAGTGCAAAGTCTTAGTGAACTAAATGTCGATATAAGCACAATGCTCCACTGTTTCTGTAATCTTGTCTTAAAAAACAAAATGTTTCACTTTCATGATTTAGGAGTGATTTGCAGGTCTGAATTCCAAACTTTCAGTGAAGGAAGACCAGCAGTTCATGGAAAAGCTGAAGTCTGTCAGTATTCAGACAAAGACAGATGAACAGGTTGCCCAGAGAAGCTGTGGCTGCCCCATCCCTGGCAGTGCTCAAGGCCAGGTTGGATGGGGCTTGGAGCAACCTAGTCTAGTGGAAGGTGTCCCTGCCCGTGGCAGGGGAATGGAACTGGATAAACTTTAAGGTCCCTTCCAACACAAACCTTTCTATGATTCATTCTATGAACATCTTTTCTGTGATATGGTTTATTCTTGTGATTAGTTGGGATTGCAGAAATACAGAATAGATTGTCTAGTTAAAGAAGGTGTATTAGAAAGAAAGCAGCTATGAAGGAAATAGGCGTGAGTTTCTCTTTCTTCCTTGTTGCTTTGCCTGCTTTTTATGGCAGCAGATGATGCTCCTCAATTTTCAAGGTTCATATACATGGCTATGTCCGCCAGTGTATTTTCTCCAACAAATTGACACTGATAAGACTTAGCTCCATCTGAAGGCATTTTAACCATATATATTAACTGCTTCTTGACAACACTCACTCCAACACCACAACACATTGCCATGGACTGTCTGTATGTGTTTGCTCTACACACACCTTACAGTTTCAGCACACTGTTAGGTAACTGACTGGATTTTGGCTTAGCTTCCCTTGCTGGGTTTGCTCCCAACCATATCAATGCATCTGCTATCAAACTTGGATTTGCTAACCAGCATGTTACTTCTTTACGTACATTCTTAAGCAGATGACAACAGCAAAAACTTAATAACCTCTTGAAAAATGTGTGTCCTGTTGACAAGCCCACTCAACTGAGGAAAGTAGATCTCTATCAGCTAAAACTGTAAGAACTCATCTTAAAGCATTGCATGCTACAGAGGGACAAGGTGGCAGTTTCAAGGAGAAGTGAAGGGTGACCTCTGGAGCAGTCCAGACCAGACTGTGCAGACCAGCTCCTGGAACCTGCCTTGCAGAAGACTCACTAGTCATGCTGTTTAGTTGATGGCAGCTCTGATTAATGTCATAAACTGCATTACCCTGAAAATGTATTTTCCTCTGTTTATTTTCAATCCCAGGCCTTCCAAAAAGAGCAGGCTGTTGGTGGGGCTTCAAGTAAGACTGAAGTCAGATACTGACAGACAAGGAACATTTACCCATACTTAACTTTCTATCATCTTTAAAGATCTAGAGTGGCTAGAAGTCTTTTCACACTTCCAAAAACAAAACTCCCACACCCTCCTTCTGCAAAACCTTTAAAATAGTTACTCTCTCCTCTGTAATTCACATACTTGTCCTATCTGTTCCCTTCCCACTCTTAATTGTCCTCAAAGACAAGAAAAGAAAAAATTAATTCCTTTGACACTAAAGCTGGAGTGGGTGGTTAAAAAAAGAAAAAGTGAAATATTTATAAAATACAAAAATTAAGATAAAATTGTGTAAAAAAAAAATATCTACCCAACCAGCTGTTCGAAACAGTAAAAGCAGAAATAAAGTAATTAATCAGTTTTGCCAACTCCTGAGGATTTTGTGACTGGCAACAGTAAGATATTTTCTACTTGACTTGCAAATATGTTTTCATTCATGTATTAAAAATCATGCCTCAGTTTTTGAGATGACGAAGGAAATAACATGCTCATGCCAGGTTCAGGGTTTCTTTTTGTAGCTATCAGAGAGCAGTTTTTCCCTCTATGACTGTAGGAAAAGGAGAACCATACAAAAAACATTGTCACTTACATACAGCGTAAATTAAGGCTGCTGATACACTGTCATTTATGTGCAATCACCATTTGGATAAAAAGAATGAATAAAATAATTCTTCTTCTTAATTTTACTGCTCTGCTGAAACATGTACCTTTTGTCTATGTATCTCTGGGAAGAAGGTAAAAAATACTGGTCTCTACCTGGACTTCAGCATTTTATTTTTATGGAACATCCTATCATGATGTTCTCCCCACATCACAGTCCTGCAAATCTGGGTTGTTTCTTTCACATCATGAGATCAAGTATGCGATGTGGAAATCTCTGTTCTTCCTGAAGAGCTGTTTCAGTGCTAGAGATGCTGCTGCTTTTTGCTTCTGCTGCACAGCCACAGTTTATCAGTGTGGAGAAAAGCAACTCAGCTTTGGTGAAGAGGAGATGTGAACTCGCTCACAGGAGCAGTCTAATCCCTGGATTACAACTGTTAGGCTGGCCCTGCACTAACAGCTGACATTTTTTCCATCACAGCATTCTGTATTCTTAATGCCCAAGGTGCTAACTGGGTATTTGGTTTCACTTATGACAATACTTAATAGAAGCAACACACAGTCTAAATGCCTGGGTTTTTTAGGCATTAAGGTTGAGACCTTCAATGTGCAAGGAGATGCAGTTCTTAATTGCCTAGGTCTAATTTTAACATCTTAAAAATCTGGCCTGTGGCTTTACCTCAGGGCTAAACATGACCAACAACAATCTTACTTTATTTTCAATGCAATGTACATATCACAAGAAATTATTTTAAAATTATATCAAAGCATTTTCAGTCTCCACCATTTCTTATCCTTGAAATTTTGAAATAACTTCTGCTGTACTATTCCATAGATTAAGTACTTGTCTGTTAGAGACATCCCTTCCTTTCCACCTATTCACTTTTGTTAAAAAATAAATTGTCAGTTATTGCACCATATTAGCAAGGCATAGTTTAGAACAGGACCTTTTCTACAGACTTGTAAACAGTATTATGGAGGATTTTCTACCCTGAAATTCCTGTAATTGTAATTTTTCTGAATACCTGAAAAAACCCCGGTGGTACAGGACCTACTGGCATGCCATCTCCTGGGGGAATGTTTCCTAGCACTGGACTGGGAGCTGCTGCAGCACTCTGAAAAGAACAAAGGGAGAATAAACCTTTGTCATTGCATGGTAGGCATTAAACACCTAAAAGAAACGGAAAAAAAAAAAAAAAAACCGAACCAAAACCAAAACCCCAACTTTGTCATTGCATGGTAGGCATTAAACTCCCAAAAGAAACCAAACCAAAAAAACCCCAAAAACCCAAAACCTGACCAAAATGCAGAAAGTCATTCTCTGGATATGTCATAATGACATTGTTTCATCTGAAGGTAAATTAAGATTGTATTATGTTTAGTGATTGTTTATACAAGTATAATATTTTCTTAAAATACCAATGAATGTTGAGGGGAAGGATGCTAGAGCTTGCACAGATATACAAATATGTGTCAAACAGACAGATCTTGTCTGGATTTTAAAAAATGTTGCATCTGAGTGTGTCTCTACATATACAGATGTGAATGTAACTTCCACACTTTTACTTATGTGTATAAACATCCTCATGTCCTCATGCATGCACAAGGATATACATAGCAGATAGTAAAGAAAGTAATTTATGCATGTTATCAGCAATTTCAAAGCACTTTAAAGATAATTTCAGCAGACTATAATATTCTTTCAGAACTACATCAAGCTTCAAAACAGGCTTCTGTTATAAACAGTACAAGAAGGAATGTTCTGCTGGCAATGCTTATGATTTTACCAACCCCCAAAATAACCACCATGACAAATTAGAAGAATTCAGGTTATGGTTTTTGGAAGGGAAAAGAGAAAAGGGATTTCTAAGAAGTGAATCAGAGGATGAAATTAGTTACCTTTACAAATCCTTCAGTTGGAATAAGCAAGTAAAGAATATTGCTTCTGGCAATTTACAAGCAGGAGATAGTCATAAAAAGGGAAGCCAAACTGTTACCATTGTCATGTGTTGGAACTTCAATTACTTTCAATTTCTAGCAGTCTTCCTTCCTGCGATATGTTTCTGTAGGGCATAAGGCTGAATTACCTATAAAGGCTCACAGTCTTCTGTGGAAGGAATCATGCACACCCAATGCACCAAGAGCCATTTGCAGCTTACCTGCCAGTATCTGCCCTACGGAATCTGAATGGCTTATGTTTATTAACTTATCACTCTATTGTACACTCACACTTGATATCCAGAAGATGCAGATCTGGAAATTTTATTTCCAGGTGTTTGGCACACTATGTAGGAAATGAAAGAATAATGCTGGGAAGAGTTAAAAATGACAGAAAGAAGGGCTGACCTTTTTAAACCAAGCAGAAAGGAAACATTCAGTTAATTACCACTGATTTTTCAATGGCTTAAGCTGCGCTTTAGAATCAACTTTCTGAACAACTTAGCAGTAGCATATTTAGCATCTAAGCTGTATGTTCTTTCCAAATCAAAGTCCAGAATGTATCATTAAAATACAAAGATTGTAGAAGGTGCTGGCTTTAGAACTCAATGTAAGAGCTTGACTCACTAGAAAAACAGAAAGAGAAAGTTTTCAGCTATTTTTTAAGCAAAACCCAACCTCTTTAAGCTGAGCATCAGGTAACAATGCCAAGTAAAACCATGAATAGGTGCAGACACAGTTTGAGTGAAGTATGTTAGATCTTACTTCTATATGTACAGGTTTTCTAAATGCAGAATTACAACAGCAGCATCACTGATGGAGAAAATCAATGACATCAAAAGCCTAAGCATCTTAAAACATCCAAAACAGCCTGCACTGCAGTGTCTGACTAAGAAGGAGTAGCCCATTAAAAGAGCACTAATAACAATGAACCTTATCACAATATCAACCCTTCTTGCATGCTAATTCCCGAACACCCCTATGCCTCCTTAGCTGTGCCCATCTCTACCGGCCATGTAATACACACTGTAGTATGTCCAATGGAGCTGATGCTACAGAATAAAGCATTTAAACAGACTACAATAAATCACTGGGCAAATGCAGGATGAAGTCAGATACGCAAAATAAGGTTAAGCTGCCAGATCTCAGAAAAATACTAAGCAGCACCTCCTCTGATACACAGACAGTTTTCAAAAGCCTTCCATCCCAGGTTGATTCATGCCTGCTCACATTACTAAACTATACCAGGCCTTAATGCATGTCAGGGTGTCTTCATGCACTCAATGGGTCTCAGACGTCCTCCTGAACTGCAGCCTCTGACAGAGCCCCCAGAGGCTGTGAAAGAATGCTTCTAAGAGAAGGAAGGAGCAACTTCTCAAGATGCAGTGCTGTGGCTGATGAGGTTGTGGCGAGTGGGATGAGGTTCAACAAGGCTCAGTGCCAGGTCCTGCACTTGGTCCACAACAACCCCATGCAATGCTCCAGGCTTGGGGAAGAGGGGCTGGGGAAGCTGCTCATTGGAAAAGGACCTGGGGGTGCTGATTGATGGAGCTGAACATGAGCCAGCTTGTGCCCAGGCAGCCAAGAAGGGAAACGGCATCCTGGCCTGTATCAGCACTAGTGTGGCCAGCAGGGCCAGGGCAGTGATCATCCCCCTGCACTGGGCACTGGTGAGGCTGCACCTTGAATCCTGTGTTCAGTTCTGGGCCCCTCACTGCAAGAGAGACATTGAGGTGCTGGAGCGGGTCCAGAGAAGGGCAACGGAGCTGGTGAAGGGCCTGGAACACAAGTGTGATGAGGAACGGCTGAGGGACCTGGAGGGGGTTTAGTCTGGAGAAGAGAAGGCTCAGGGGGGACCTTATCGCTCTCTGCAACTACCTAAAAGGAGGATGGAGCCAGGAGGTGGCTGGTCTCTGCTCCCAAGGAACAAGTGATAGGACAAGACAAAACAGCCTGAAGAGGAGGTTCAGACTGGATATTAGGAACAATTTCTTCACTGTGAAAGGGTGGTCAGGCATTGTAACAGGCTGCCCAGGGAATTGCTGTCCCTGGAAGCGTTCACAAACCGTGTAGAGGAGGCCTTTGACATAGTTCAGTGGTAGACTTGGCAGTGCTGGGGAACAGCTGGACTTGATGATCTTAAAGGTCTTTTCCAACCCAGCTGATCCTGTGATTCTACAGGGATACTGGGTTCTGCTCCCAGTGACTTCATGCTGTTTCCCACACTTTTAAAATAATATTCAAAAGGAACATGGTAAAAGGAAAAATGGTAATATACTTAAGAGTTAATTAAATTAAAAACAAAACAAAACAAAACAAACCCCTAAAATTACACTTAACATCTGTTAAGTTGTTAGCCATTAAACCTCCTAACAAAGCTTGGTAAGAAATATGCCTAAAGATAACATTTTCATAATTGACTCAATAGTGGGTTCGGCAGTTTTTCTTTCCTATTTTTGAATCTGACTTAGCACTGATACCAGAGGAACCCAGCTTCGTTCCTTGCTGAACCTCAGAGATAAGCATGCAGCTCTCCGGGAGGGGTGAAATGGACAATTCTTTGAGCAACAGACATTGCAATGAATGACTATAAGTCTACCTCACACATGTACCAAAACACATTGCTACCAATTCCTGTAAAGGGGATATGTCTCTAAAGTAACCACTTTTTGGAGGAGTGGGTTTTGTAAAACTTTGTTGATGAAAAAGATATGGGGAAAGGAAATAGACTTAAGGGACTACCAACACATGGGATTGGAGAGCTTCTAAAGCCTCCTCAGAAAGCCTTCTGCTTGAGGTCCCATTCTGGAGAGCTGTCCTCAGAGAGGGCAGCCAAAAGCTTAGAGCAGTGCTATCAGATGGGTATCGGAGGAATCATCTGTGATGATGAAGAGCATGGTCTTGTGGAAGTGATTACACACGTGATCTAGACTGATTTACTCAGTCTTGGTTCTCATGCTTTCCAGGTAAAAAGGTCTTTAACTAGAGAGGAACCAGCTCTTCAGCCTAGTTACTAAAAATTAAATTAATCTACTAATGTTGGCTGTTTTTTCCTTGTCACTATGATGTTTCAGGGAGGTACTCAATGCATTGATTTTAATTGGCCTAATTATTTGAGACTTGATTACACTGTGCAGTTTATATACACCATCTCCCCCCTCTGTATCACTGAGTGGGAAGGAGGACAGAGCAATGCAAAGTTTTAGTGGCCGTAACAGTAGGTCAGTTTTCCTGCTTAATAACTGTAAGAATATTGTAGCTGTAAGAATATTGTAGCTGTAGGTATTCTGCAACAGTCCGTTCTTAGGTGTTACAGAAACTTCAGTTTCTATCTTTCATTATCTAATGTACTGGAGTTTGTTTCCTGTTTTTATATTTGTTTGTTTGGATTTTCTTTCCTGATGGGCGATGAAGTCCCAAAACAAGAAATAAAACATTTTCAGTCGTATAGTCATATTACATTTTCTAGCTTGCACTATCCAATGAACATTTTAAGAAGTTATAACAGGTAGATCAATAAACAAACCTGCAACTGCTGCACTGAAATACTCTTTATTTATTCTATACTGATGAATTATTCAGTTCTTTCTTCATAGTCTCACAGCAATCCATGTCTTCTTTTTGCATGCATTACAAGTTGTTCATCATTTATACTTCCATTAGTTCGACATTTTAAATATTCGTAATTTGCTTTCCCTGCTTTTCATAAAAGGATGAAAAAGGAAAATTTAAATGGTTTTATCTTTTTGTACAGTATCTTACTTCCTTAAAATTAGAAAACTATTTTCTTTTGTACCTAGAATACTAAAAATATGACATCTCCTTACAATTATTAATAAAAATGGTGCACTTGAATGAAACTTATTGTGGTCATTCTTTGGTCTACCTAACCTACTCTCAACAGTGTAAAATAGATGATTATGTTAAAAAAATTAAAACTAGCCACAGTTTAGGCTGATTTTTACAATAAAGAAATCACAAAGTAAATAAAAAAGAAAAATAAGATAGATTAGTTTTTCCATTTCTACAGTATCTGAAATATCTGAAAAAAAACCAGAGAGAAGTCTGCAACACATAGGTAATTTCTTGAGGCTATCACATGAAAAGGTTTATGACGGAAGCTCGCAGAAGAATTCCAGTTGCAATCAAAGAATTTTACAAAGAAGGGACTTTATCT